AGATCATCAGAAAACTTCCCTACAACAAGGCAGTACTGAAATCAAGCCAGGAAAATCAACCTGCAGTTCAGGATGAGGCTCGGTGAGGGCAATCAGGGCAAGACACAGCCTGGTGATCTTCTGGCAGGTCTGCAGTCCATGGGTTAAAGTCTGGATGACCAACACTGGAGGTACAACTCAGGAAAGGATTGGTGGTCCTGGCAGAGCTTAAATAAACCCTTCAGGGCTCATGGGCTGGAGCTCCATGTGAGGCTGGTCAGGGCCCTGACACCCCATGTAGCTCCTGCCCCCCACCCAGCTCACCCATAGCCCCCAGCCTGGTGGGTGCTTGTGGTGGCTCCCCTGGCCCTGCTCACCCACCACTAGGGCTGTGGGCTCAGGAGGGAGAGCAGAGGGGCTGCTGCAGCTCATTAAGGACTCATTTTGAGGAGGCTGCTCTGGCAGCACCTGGGGGAGCCGGATTCTTTGCAGACCTTCCTCAAGCCAACCTGCTGTGACCCTCACAGGGATTCTGCCCATCCCAGAGCGACTGGGACGAGCAGGGGCTGTGGTGGGCATGTGGGGCTGATCTGCTCTGCACTGCCACAGCCTCTGCCTCCTCCTCTCCCAGGAGCAGGAGGGCAGACCCAGTGGCTCCTCTTACACCCAGGTGCAAGCCCCAGCTTGTTCCAAAGCCAAACTTGCCCCTACAACCCCCCCTCCCCACCCAGATTGTGAGTGCTGCCACAGGGTTGCTCAGCTTTGCACCATCTAGATGCCTTTTTTTTTTCTTCTTTCTTTCTTTTTTTCTTTTTCCCTCCCAGCTGCTGGGCCCTGCCATGGTAACAGGCTTTCCTGGAAAGCCTAATTGCTGTACATTCCCAGCAGTGAGGGAGGTGAGGGAGGGCAGGTCTGGCACCCCTTCCCCACAGTGCCTGTGCCCCACGCTCAGATGTGGAGAGGGGCTGTAGCAGCACCACCACCACGTGGGTTGGTCACAGAGAAGAGAAAAGGGTGCTCTGCCAGGTGTCTGGACACATCACCCTCTCAGCAAGACACTGCTGTCACCCAGGGTGTCCCTGAGGACTCCCCAAACAGCCCCCGTGGGGCTCAGGTTGGGCCGATGGGGCTCTTTGATCCCACATTTTTGGGGACCAGACTCAGCTGGAAGCAGCAAACCCAGCACCAGCCTGGGAGCCAGGCTCTGTCCAGGAGAGCCACACAGGGCTAGTGGGTGACCAGGGCCAAGCACTGCCTGGCCAAACCTGTCCCTGATTCCTCTGCTGGCACACTCCAGGGTGCTGATCCCCCCCCAGCTGCATTTCAGCAGCAGCTCATTGCTGGTAAAGAGCCACAGCTCCCTGGGAGCCCAGAGCCTTTGAGATCAAAGGTGCTCTTACACAAACCCCAAGTACGACCAGTGGCCTTTAAAGGCCAGACTAAACTTCTGAGGGGAAAAAAAAGAAATATTCAGTTTTCTGTGGATCTAATTTGAAGCCTTTTTAATGCTCATTAAGATAGAGAGACCCAAGCAGATTGTGAGGGCTGGAAGAGAGGGAGGGGAAAAGAGGAGTTATTATTGACATTTTAGTTTAGGTCTTTATTCTTCCCAGACCTCCCCACTTCTGGGCAGCAGCTTTGAGTAGTACTATTGTTAGCACTGGAATTGTGACTCCAATGTCCTTTTTATAACTGGCTTGGAAAAAAAAAAAATCCTGAAGGCCTTGACTGAATCCAAAGTAGTGGAATTTACAGTGGTAAAAAGAGATCTGAAGATGGAGAAAAGGGCAAACCGCTGTGCTGTCCTTCCCCATCACAGGGTGGTCCCTCTGCAGCACCTTCCTGGGGTGCTCAGTGGTGAGGGTGAAGGAAAGGATTCCCAGTGGACACCTGGATGAGGAGGTGTCCCAGCCTGGCCACCCTCTGGAGCCGTATCCCAGATCCACTCATCCATCTGCTGGGTCACAGCCCTGGGGACAACTGTCCTGAGGGGAAACGTGCCTTCAGCCAAGGGCTGGGATGGGGACTGGCACAGCCCCAAAGGGGATTGATTTATTTATTTGTTTATTTATGGTATTTATTTTTATTTTATTCTATTCTATTTATTATTTATATCACTCTCTGTGAGGGCTTGTGTGGAAATACAAGATTTAGTGAAGGTGGGTGCATCTGCCCAGTGGGTGCAGGGTGGTCTTGTGGGCAGGTGGGCACGGTCAGAGCCTAAACCAAAAGAGCTTGATGATGCCTTGGCTTGCTGTGGTGCTCTGCTCCCCATCACTACTGCTGACAGTTTTGCTTGATGCAGGCAAAGCTTCTGGTTTTGTTTCCCAACCAACTTCCTTGAATTCTGCTTTACAGCAGCGTGAAATGAAGTGTGTTAAGCAGATTTGTTTTCCTTTGCCTCCTGGTGTTGAATTATGCTTTTGTGAGGGTGCAAGAAAGCGAGTTCAAACCTGGGATCAGGTTATCTGCTATAAAGTCACCTTCTCTTGCATCCAGCAGCTGCTGGATTTCTGAGATCTCAAATATCTTAATGAGAGAGTAAAAAATACGTGAGGCAGGAATCGATACTTCAGATAATGCCTTTTACAACTACCTGACAGGAGGCTGGAGCCAGGTGGGGAGCGGTCCCTGCTCCCAGGTAACACGAGACAGGATGAGAGGAAACGGCCTCCAATCGCGCCAGGGGACGTTTAGGTTGGATCCCGGGGGAAATTTCACACTGGAAGGGTTGTGGAGTCACCATCCCTGGAGGGATTTAACAGAGGTGTAGGTGCGGCAGTTGGGTTCGTGGTGAACACGGCGGGGTTGGATCAGTGGTTTGGTACCCGATGATCCCAGAGGATTTTCCCTGCTCCCTGCGATTCGCGTCGGTGCCTGCAGAGGGCAGCAAACCCCCAAAATGTCCCTCCCGCCCCTCGGACGCCTCGGGATGCTCCTTTGGGAAAGCTCCGGATAACACTGATCCACCCCCCAGCAGGATGGGGATGGGGTCCCTGTACCCCCCACCATGGCCCCAAGCCCCAGCCCGAGGTCTGGCTCCATCCCCAGCTCCTGCCCCGCTCGCTGAACCCAAACCCCCACCTCCCACAGCAGCAAGCGCAGCAAAACTGTCAGAGAAAGCCTTGTGGGAATGTGCTCCTGTCCTTGCTTCCCCTGTGCTGCAGGCCCTGTGGGTGGGAATCACTTCTGCTTTAGGAAAAAAACAAACCTTGACATGTGGTTTCTGGCCCGTGTTGACCTCAAAAAGCACAAGCAAGAAGATCTGTGTGTCGGCAAAGGATAGGGTGGAAGTGTCCAAGCACGCGGTGGCTCCAGCCATGTGGGGACAGGACTGATCCCAGCTCAGGGAAAAGCCCCAGCAGTGGCTTTGGGAGAATCCCTGGATCTCCCCTGGAGTCCCAGTGTCCTCCCCTGCAGAGGACAGGCCTGTGTTGCAGGGGAATGGCAGGGTGAGACCCACGGACAGGTACAAAGTGTTTGGAAGCACCACAGTGCTGTGTCCAGCCAGAGGTGTCTGCATGTTGGCAACAGGAATTCACATAATTCCCCAAATTTCACAGGGGCTGTACAGCATGTGATGGTGAGAGCTGAAGCACTTCAGCCACTGGTACAGCCAGGGAAACAAACACGAGTCTTCCCACTCCAGATTTAGCTCTTTATTGATTTTCCAGTTGCATCCATCAGTCACTGTCCCAGTGCTCAAATTACCCATTAAAGGCATCATAGAAAAGAGAGGAAAAACAAGACAGGGTTGTGGTTTTGATGAAAAACGTTAAACATCCCAAACAGGAATTTCTGGAAGGAAAATGTGTCCTTTTTAGTGTTGGGACTGGGTTACATTTATTCTTGAACAGCTCAGAGGCACCAAGGGCTGCTGGTGGTCTGGGGCTCCAGCTCTTGTGGCTCTCCTTCCCTGTGCCACTGGCAGCGCTGTCACCTGCAGGAGGGACTTGGGAGCCTCCAGTCCAGCTTGTCACCTGCGTCACACTCGAGGATAAACATAAGACCTGTTTCAAACTCCACCTGACTGCCCTGCAGTGGACATGCTGTCCCCTGTGTGTTCATGCTGCTGCTTCCCCTCACCTACAGGTCACGTCCCTGCTGGTGACTGAAGATGGGTCACATCCTGCAGGTCTGTCCCAGGGAGCCCCTCTGCTCTGGAGCCAGGCTGGGGGTGTTCACCTGGAGAAGTGAAGGCTCAAGGAGACCTCAGAGCCCCTTCCAGGGCCTAAAGGGGCTCCAGGAGAGCTGGAGAGGGACTTGGGACAAGGGTCTGGAGGGACAGGACAAGGGAGAATGGCTTCCCACTGCCAGAGGGCAGATTTCAGTTAGATAAAAGGAAAAAAATTCTTGGCTGTGAGGGTGGGGAGGCCCTGGCACAGGTTGCCCAGAGCAGCTGTGGCTGCCCCAGCCCTGGAAGTGTCCAAGGCCAGGTTGGACAGGGCTTGGAGCAACTTGGGATGGTGGAAGATGTCACTGCCCATGGCAGGGGGGGAACTGGATGAGCTTTAAGGTCCCTTCCACCCAAAGTGTCCTGTGATTCTATGAACAAAATCTGTGTCCTCCCCCTCGCAGAGCAATCCCACCCCAAGGAGCTGCACCGTGTCCCTGTGGTTCAGCAAGATTAGCCAGGGTTGCAGTGGAAGTGTCTCCAGGCTCTCCTCCCACCCCCAAAGCATCCCCAGAGGGGAGGGCTCTGCTCCCTGTGCAGGGCTGGCTTTGCTGACTCAGCAGCACCCACCCTGTGTAAACGCCCGCCAGCTGCTGCCCCAGCCACTGTTTGCTCAGCCCACAGCGCTCTGTTTGCCTTTCGGGATCACGATGGAAGGAGATGGCCTTTGGGCCACCAGAAAATGAAGCAAGGCAGCTCCAGGCACCTGCCCCAAGGATCCTCCAGCATCTCCAGCCCCTGCCTGGGGCCAGTGCAGGCTGCTCAGTGACTGTGATAAACAGGCAACACCCAAATTACAATGTCCACGGAGCTCCAGGGGCTACAGAAAAACGCACCTACCACAGCATAACCCGGCTGCCACGCAGCCAGGAGAATTATTTATTATCATTTCCTTGCAACAGAGATATGGGAAAAAAAAAAAAAGCAGACACCCTCCCTCCCCAGGCACAAACAGCAGCAGCTGCAGCATCCACGCAAGGATCTATGTACATCACAGTGTAAAGTCCATGGGGCAAAAAAATTCGATCCAAGTTTAAAAAAAAAAAGGGGGAAAAAAAGGAAAAAAAAAAAACCAACAAAAAAACCCCAAACAAATGAACAACCCCCCCCAAACCTAAAACGAGGAACCAGAAAAAAAAATTGGTTGAGAAAACAGGTAAAATAGGTTGGGCCCCTCCCTGTCACTATAAAATATATATATATATGTATTTCTAAGGCGACGTTTCACAAGACCAGAAGCGAGGTTCCTAAAGAGTCTGAGCTTGCAGCCGAGGACACCACACAGGCACAAATCCCACGTGAGAAGCTAGTGTAGACACCGAAACCCCCACCCACCCCGCGGCCTCAGTGGTCAGCGTAGTCCTTGGTCTCCACCCCGGTCTCGTTGAGCACCGTCGTCCTCATGATGGCCTCGGTGACGGCGTAGGGGTCGCAGTTGGCCGCCGGCCGCCGGTCCTCGAAGTAGCCGCAGCCATCCTGGCCCACCTGGCGCGGGATGCGGATGCTGGCGCCGCGGTTGGCCACGCCGGCGGAGAACTCGAAGATGTTGGAGGTCTCGTGGTGGCCCGTGAGCCGCCGGGAGTTGTCCCTGCCGCCCCGCGGGTCGTACACGCAGATGTGGTAGTCGTGCCGCTTGCTCAGCTTCTCGATGGCAGCTTCGATGTGTCTGTGGGGCGGGAGCGGGGGGGGATTTGTCAGTCGGGCCATTTCACAGAGTCACAGAATCAACCGGGTTGGGAAAGACCTCTGAGGTCGTCGAGTCCAACCTGTGACCCAACCCCACCTTGTCACCCAGCCCATGGCACTGATGCCACATCCAGGCTCTGTCCTTAAACACCTCCAGGCAAGTGACTCCACCCCCTCCCTGGGCAGCCCATTCCAATGGCTGAGCCCTCTCTCTGTGAAGAACTTCTTCCCAATGGCCAACCTAAACCTCCCCTAGGGCAGCTCAAGGCTGGGACCTCTTGTCCTGTTGCTGGTCCCTGGGAGCAGAGACTGATACTTGCACTTTGGGGGGTGTTCCCATGGTCAGGAAGGCTGTCACCCCCTCCTCCTGTGCAGGGACAAGCCCAGGGGACACTCTCATACGACCAGCTGCTTTTAAAATAACAAGCTGGGACAGCCCCAACCCAGGCACAGCCTCCCAGGGAGGGAGACACACATTTCCACATGGCCAAGGACTCCCCATCCTCCCAGGTGACCCCTCAGGACTCACTTGAGACCCCCCTCTCTCCTCATCTCCTCGGTGCTGTAGTTGGTGTGACACCCAGCGCCGTTCCAGTTGCCGGTCATCGGTTTGGGGTCCAGCGTAGCCACAACCCCAAAGTCCTCACAGACACGGTGGAGGATGAACCGAGCCATCCACAGGTGATCCCCCATCTCAATGCCTTCACACGGGCCCACCTGGAATTCCCACTGGAAGGGGAGAGCAGATGCACAGGTGAGGATGGGCAGGTTGGTGTCCCTGCCACCCCCAGTGAGGGCTGCCAGCCTGGGCTATGGCTGATTGCTGTCCCTTGGGAATCAGCAACAAGGATGGGGAGCACCGAATTAAGCAACAGAACAGCTTTGGCAGGCAAAAGAAATGGTAATAAACTGCTCTCGACCATATAGAGCAAATCAGAGGGGTTTTAATCAAATCAGAGATAAATGAGCACCACGCCTGACCGGGGCTGGTGCTGGAGCTGCTGGTGTGCAGGACCCCCAGCCCACACTGCAAACAGGGCAGAGGACTAATGAGGAGCCTGTTAGTCCTTCCCAGGGCTGCTCCCTGCCCTGCTGGAGCCAGGGTTGCACCACCCGCGGTGACTAAGCAGAGGGTGACGTATTTACAGCTGCTGGCACGGCCAGAGCCTGAGCCCAGGATGCAGAAAGCAGCCAAGAAGGACCCTGAAGAAGTCAGGGCAAACAACAGGGCGGTTAAAAGTCCTGCCTCAGCTCCGCTGCAGATAAGCCCCCGCTTATCTCGGCCACATCAGCAGCAGGAGTCAACGATTCACAGTCGGTCAGTCTGGCCACCTGCCTAATGCAATCAGGGACTCCCTCCTGCTAACCCCCAAATAAACCCAAATCCCTCCCAACCACTCCCCCCAAAGCCATGTCCCACCCCACTCCCCTCACTCCACATGGTGCTCCCACAGCCTGTCCTGGCTCCCTCCATCCCCTGCATCCCTGCTCCACGGGGCAGGGGAGGCACAGGGGAGCTCCCAGCTCTACACCAGCTCTGCAAGGAGCTCAGGGTGAGTCAGGAGAAAATCAAATGTACATCTTCACCCTAGCAGTGCTACTGCTCCCATCCAGGCAAAACCTACGCGGGGAGTCACTGGATTCAGTGTTCCAGAGGAGCTGGGAGTTGCTGCCTTGTTCCAGACTCATGATAACTTGTATCCATCGTGGGATGTAGGCTGCGTGGGGCCATCCACACCTACCTGGGAGGGCATCACCTCTGCGTTGGTGCCACAGATCTTCACCCCCGCGTACAGACAGGCCTTGTAGTGGGACTCCACGATATCGCGCCCGTACACCTTATCTGCTCCAACCCCACAGTAATAGGGGCCTGGAAAGGAACAAGGAATCACCACCCGAGCAAGGCTCTTTGGGAACAACAACAGCATTGCAGCATAATCCCACGCTCCCGGCTACTTGCTGCTAGGGGCAGAGGATTTATGGGCATTAAAATGCTGTTGCACTCCACAGGACATGAAGCCACCGGCCCCAACCCCAGGAGCAGCAGCTGAGCAGTTCATCAGAGCAACCTCGGCCTTATCTGGGCAGTTAAACAGGACTTGTAATGCATCAACCAGGAGGTGGCCAGGAGATAAGGAAAGTGGCCAGGAGATAAGGAAAGCTCGGCTTGGTCTGCCCCAGGCATTTCCCTGACCCTCTGAGCACATCAGGCTTCTGAGATTGTTCTGACAACAGCCAACATTGTTCCTGGCTAGAAAATTCAGCTTGCCAGGGTTTGATATACGGCTCTTCCTCACTCAAGTAGGTCAGGAGAAGATCTCCTCCCCGCCTGGGGGAAGGGAGATGTTGCAAGCAGCTCAAACAAAAGCCAGGTTGGGAAACCCCCGTCCTCTGTCCCTCTGCCAGGAGGCAGTTGAGGAGCTTACTTGCTGTTGCAGGAGGGCACAATGTGCCAAGCCAAGCCCTTTCCCCAACGGCCACGGGGAGGAGGCTTTTCCAGCCCAGTTCTCCAGCCCTTGCCAAACAAGTCGTGCAGCTGAGCTGTTTGTGCAACCTGGGTCTGGCCGGTGCGCTCACGTGAGCCACGGGGCACCAGCTGCTCTCACAGCTCCTGACCCCATCCCAGATCCTGCCTGGTGTCAGCTGCAATGGGAAAGCTGCACACAAGGTCCGGGATCTGATGGCTACCCTTGGCAGCACCCCCGAGCAGCAGGGTGGGAGCTGAGGGAGCATTCGGGCCGGGGCAGGGAGGGAGCACTCACCCTGTGGGCCGGGGAAGCCGTTGTCGGGCCAGCCATAGGGGTGGCCGTTGATTCCCAGCAGTGTGTACTCCTGCTCCATCCCAAACCAGGGGTGGCTGTCCTTCACCAAGTCCATGACTTTCTTGCACGTGTGTCTCAGGTTGGTCTCTGGGAGCAGAGAGGTCCAGGTTAGAGCCAGCTGTGAGCAGGTGTCCCCCACGCTCTGCTCCATCCCACTCAGAGATGGAGGCTCCACCACTGCCAAGTGCTTCCCACAGAAGCCTTAAGGAAACCTCCTTCCTGCTCACTGGTTTCCTCCTCACAGTTAGTCCATCACCAGAGCATCAGGCCACAGGCCAAGAGGGTTTAATTAGCCTATTCCCCAAACCACTGTCAGTGCTCCATGAACATCCTCCTCCTCCTCTTATGCTCTCCTCTTATCCTCTCTCTCTGAGAGACCAGGAGTCACATCCCAGCCCTTTCCTACAGACACATCCAGCAGACCTGGGAACAGAGACTGTGTATCTTCCATCACTAACCCACCCCTATCCTCTTCCCACAGCCTCATCTTAATCAGCCTTTTTTCTTTTCCAGTTCCATGATTTTGGTTACCATCCAAGCTGGCTGGCCCTGACCCAGCCCTTCGAGGTGCTCAGGGCCACTGGGGCTTTGCCAGGAAAACACAGGCACCAAGGAACCATCCTCACATGAAACAACATGCCAGGCAAGTGGAATGAGAGCTTGGACAGAGACAGGGGGGAAAAAAGAAGGCTGAAAAATTGCTGTCCCATGGGCAGGCAGCCTCCAGGCTGCACATTCTGCCTTGACTTGCAATAAAATCCCCAGAGCAGCTACAACACATGCCTAGAGTGGGAAGGAAGCTGGAGGGAAGCAGGGACATCTCCCGACCTTTCCCCTCCTGTCCCGGGTCCACACAGCCCTTAGTATCCCCAGAAACCCATCCTGGGAAAGCCTGGAGGGTGCACCCATCTCTCATGTGGGGCTCTGGGCTGAGCTCTCTGTCCCAGCTTCAACTCCAGGACTTTACAAATTGCTCCAGCAGAGGAGCTGCCGGCAGGAATCTCGACCGAGACGCTACCCCCGTGGCCGACAGGCTGTTTGAGGAGGAACCAGCCCCGTCTTTCGCCATCGCTGCCCGCAGGATCCCCTCTCCCCGCAGATGTGTGTGCATCACCCTCCCCCTCACGCTGAGCGGGGCCGCAGCCCTGCTTGACTGGCAAATAACCGGTTGTTATGCCGGCAAACAACCCCTCTGGGAGCCCCTGAGCGCGTCCTGCGAACCGGCTCCCCTTCCTGTGTCTGGGGCTTTATCAGAGGGACAGGACGGACTCGGCACCGCAGGCTCCTGCCCGCGGTGATAAGCTCAGAGCCGGAGCGCTCCGGGGCCGCTTGCGAAAGGTCACCCCGAGCCAGCCCGGCAGCTTCTTCCTCCTTTTCCCCAGCCTCCCACAGACGAGGAGAGCAGCCGCGAAGCCGGCATGTACAAACCCAGCTGCGGCTCCCCCGCGGTAACCCCCACCCGCGGGCTGGGTGTGCTCGGCTCAAAACGCCCGGGTGACGCCTTTGGCCTTGAGCTCCACGTCTCGCTGCTCTCCTCCTCACCCCACGCCGCTAAAACAAGTTCCTGCAAACAACCACCGCCACCAGCACTGGGATTTCAGAGCCCGGGGCCAAGTGCTCGGTGCTGCGCTGTGCCCCGGAGCCAGCGGTCCGTGGCAAGTGGTCCCTTGGGGATAGGGCACCCTAAATGATAAATGGGTGACCCTCGGGAGAAGGGGGGTGCACGCTGGGGGTGCTCACCTGCGGGTTTCCTGTTGTACTTGAGCACTTCACAGAGCACCAGCTTGTTGGGGTCCAGGCAAAAAGGGTCCCTGAACATGCAGACTGGCACCAGGAACATGTCGCTGTTGGAGCCCTCTGCCTGTGCCGTGCTGGAGCCGTCGAAATTCCACTCGGGGACATCTGCGAGGCGGGAGGGGGACAGAGAGGGGAGCAGGATTGGGAAGAGGTACATCACATGTGGATTGAGGCAAGTGCTGGTGGCTCAGACTCAGGATGGAGCACCCAGAGAGCACCGAGTGCCACGGGGTGACGGCCACAGAGGTTTCCCTGCACATCCCCGGAGCTCCCTGAGCACCAGCGTGTTCTTTTCTCCCAGCACCACCAAGCACAGGCAGGATCAGCCCCAGCCCCTTCACCTCCCTCTGCCAAACCCCGTCCAGGTGCCCACACGTCCCCGTGCCTGTTTGCCTGGTGGGAAGGGGCGAGGAACTCCTCCCCCCCTTCATTAACGGATTAAGGAAACCGCAGCGACGTAGGTTGGGTGTTTACCCCGCCACGAGGCAACTGCGACAGGTATCACCAGTGCCACGCAACCAGGTAGTTGGCAAGTGCCAGCACTTGCTAGTGCCAACCTCCCTGCCCAAAGCACCCCAGAACTCTTCTCAGGGCCCACCACCATGCCGCCCGTCGCCCACAGGGATAAGCAGCGGCGTTACCTTCAATGCTCTTGGGCTCCTTGTCAAGAGTCCTGCTCTTGCAGCGCACCCCTTCGCCGCTGCCGTCGATCCAGACGTAGGTGACCTGCACCCTGCCGTCCTGGGGCAGCCTCATGTACTGCTCCCGCACCAGCTTGTTCAGCCTGGAGCTGTGTGACACCGACATGGCGACGGCCCTGCGAGGGTGACAGCCACATCACTCCCGGCCCATCTCCTTCCAAAACCAACCTCCCGCCCCAAAATAAGCCACCCCAGCCTCTCTCCCTCACCCCCTCCAAGCAGTGTCCCCCGGCTGGACTCGAACCCGCGCTCACCGGCCCCAGCACTGCCCGCGCCCGCTCCGCCCGCGCTTTATACGCGCCCGCGGTCGGGGCGGGAGCGGAGGCGGCTCCTCCTCCGGGGCGGCAGCGCCGGGCCCCGGCCCCTACCCCCAGGGGCACCCTCTAAACACGTTCAGCACTGTTTTCTTTTCAAACTGAAATACGACTTGTTAAAAGCGGCGATCGTCGTGCGGCTAAAACATCGCTTCGTTTTAAAAAATTGCGAGTTGTTGCCTAAATGACTTGATGTTTATTTAAAAATAACGAGTATTAATCACTGAAAATGCCGTTTTCCACCTCCTGCCCCCTCGCTGCCTGTGAACCCCTGGCGCTTTGTTTATATAGGGTTGCCCCCTTACACACGGGCAGGTGTTTTCCCCCGGCCCTGCTACGGTGCTGTAGGGTGGGGAGTGGGGGAGGCTGCTCCCCCCAGCACCCCAAAAGCCTCGCTGGGACCATGCCCTGTGCAGGTGGGATGCCCGGAAATGGATCTGGATGCCTGGGTGGTCCTGGGACTACCAGGACCAGCCAACTCCCCAAGGACAAAGGGCAGCCAAATCCCTGGGGATGGGAGTAGCCAAATCCCTGGGGACAGGGGCAGACAGATGCCTGGCAGCCCTGCCACTGCTTCCCTCCCCATCCTGCCCTGGACACCCCGGGGACAACTCCTGCCTTCCCGGTTTCAGCCCCAGTGGCTGCAGGGCTGTGTTTGCCCCCCAGGTTTTCCTCCCAAGGAAGGAAAGGCTGAGGGCTACAGGGAGAACTATTGGCAAAGCACTGAAATCCCCCACTTTAGCCCTTCTCAGCTATAAACGGCTGACCTTAAGTACCATTTCTAAGCACCAGAGCGTAGTAAAGCACCTTTAAACCCCCAAACCATCCCCGCGCCGCAGTGGCCCTGATGTGATTTGCAGTCAGCTAGAAATCCTCAGCCAACAGGTGCGTGAATTTGAGTCGATTATTTCAATATAGCAGCAATTTCCAGCTATTGAGCCGAACGCAGATCCAATTAGAATGAATTAAACGCGCCGCTGCCTTCCCAGTTTTCCATAGATCCTGCTTTAGAGGCTCCCACGTGTCAGGGCAGACGGACCCCAAACATGCAAGCGCACAATCGGCACAGACACAAACAGCCCGTGCCGGCGCCTCTGGGCCTTATCTCAAATACTCCGTTGTTTTTTTTTTTTTCTGGGAGGAGAGTAGGATTTCAAACAACCCCCCAGCAAACCCAGAGGGGTGAGGGCACCGCGACTCTCCAGCCTCAGTTTTTAAGCAGTTTTTCGATGTTACAAAAGGAGAAAAGGCTTTAAAGCATGACTGGGCTCCAAAGCAGTTGGGTTTTTGCTAATTCCCCCGGTCCTTAAGGCAGACTCATGATTGCGGCTGCCTGAATCACCCCCAGGAATGTTTTTCTGCAAGACAATGAAACATCTGCACCAGAGCAGCTAAAAAAAAACCCTTTACGGTTGATTGCCCCCCTCAGGACATCTCCTCCCCGGGCACTGACCCAAAACCCCAGCTCTGTTTTTCTTCTGAAGGTGTTTTGGTCCCGCAGGCAGATAAAGAACCGGGAAGAAACCTGAAAGCACTTGGGATTGCACAAGAACCAGGAAATGAGATTGGCAGCGAGAGAAGCAGAACTTAATTAGCAATTTTGGTGCCCGGGCGGTGACATCAGTGACAGAGGGCTGCGGGCGGGCCAGACGTCACCCACCCCACTGCCCACGGGCACAGCCCCAAGCAGAGCTCCCGGCAAGGAGGTCGGCACCCAGGGATGTGCCCGCGGTCCCCCGGAGCAGCAGAGCCACGCGGGTCTCCTCCGTGTCACCCGTGCCCTCGGTGCTGCCCGGGTGACACGCGGGGCCTCCTGCAGCTGAAACCGGGGTGCAGCTCGAAAGCAGCCGCCTCCCTCCACCGGGTGTTTTAGGGACACGTCCACGAGCGTGCCTGCAGAGCTCAGCATTTCCTCGTTCCTGTTTGGAAATCGTCCCAGGGCAGGAGGAAATGTGCCCCTGGGTTTGCAGCAGCGTTTCCCGGAGCCGCCGCAACACGTGCCGGAGTGGGGGTGGAGGGACCGGCGGCTCTGCGGGGTCCTGGGCTCCCTGTTCCCATCTCTGTCCTGCCTGGGGACCTGCAGCCCACGGGACTGGCCTCAGCAGGGGCTGATGCTGAGCTTTCATGCAATCAGGGAGCACAGAGATGGATCTGCATCCTTTGGGAAGCATCTCAAACCCGTCCCGCAGAGAGGCGAGACTGATGTGCTGTGTCCTTCACAGCAGACAGCAGGACCAGCAACAGTGTGCCCATGTGCCAAATCCCCACACCTCCGTGAGTAAAGGTCTGGGACAGTCTCCTTTTATTCCCAGAGAAAGCCCTGGCTTCCCTCCTGGATGTGCCCACCCGTGCAATAACCCCCCACAGCTTGAGTGGGCTCAGAACGATGGAAAAATGGAATGAGATCCAGGCGGTGTCAACGCTCCCCAGTAAGCTGGGTCAGGGAGCAGAGCTCCTCCGTGGATGGCTGCAGCCACGGAGCACCAAAACACCCAAACAGGGAAGGCAGAACAAACACCAATAATCCCTCACCTGGTCAAAGCCCACCCGGCCCCGGGAGGACAAACACTGTGTTTGTGGCTGTTGGGGGGCAGCGGGGCTGACAGGAGCCTGTGGGTGCACAGCTGTGGAACCACTGAACCATTTAGGCTGGAAAAGACCTCTGGGATCATCAAGTCCAACCATTCCCTGGCACTGCCAAAGCCACCACTAAGCCATGTCTCCAAGTGCCATGGTCCCACCCCTGCCCAAACACCGCACCTGAGGCAGCTCCCCAAATATACAGAATTGTTTCCTTCCAAAAAGGATTTTAGTAAGCAGGAAAAAGTATTTCTGCCATACAGTGGTGGGCACCTGCTCAGTCAGTATTTCTCAGGACCAAGTCTTACCTCACCACAGTCTAATTCCAGCCCTTTTTGTAGCATCAACTCTGTTACACCGGCAATGCCAAACCCAATTCACACCCGAATCCTCGAGCCTCTTGAACAACATTTTACCCCCAAACAGACCTGCTATCAGTGGGTTCTCTCTGCCCCAGGTACAGCAAATATTAACCACCACCAGGCTCCCGGCTCAGGGAATCAGTGACTGGCCCAAGGTCGGAGCTGAGGGCAGGAAAGGAGCAGGAATGTCCTTGTGGAAGGAAAAGGTTACAGACTGAATCTCCAGAGGATTTGCTGAAGCCCATTCAGAGCTGTGGCAGCAGCACAGAGGGCTTTCTGGAGATAAAGGACAGAAGGAAGAGAAGCTGATTCTGCTGTGCTGCCACAGCCCAAACCAACCATGACTTCCACTGTGGCAGCTGGGACACCATCCCAGTATCCACAGGGATCATCCCACAGCTGCAGGCGATGCAGGACACAGCAACTTTCCCAGCACCTTTTTTTTTTGGATGATGGCCATCAATCTGCAGGCAGCAATGCCTGGAGAACCCTCCTGGGGAGACCTGGCCAAGGCCTAAATACTTTTAGTATAATACATTACTTATAAGAGATCAATAATAGAGTTTTTATCTCCCTGACTTTGAGGCTTTATCAGCCCAAGAGTTTTCCAGCCTTGCCAAGATACACCAAAGACATGATTTGCTTAAACAGGAATAATAAATCCTTAGCAAATTTTCCAGATTGAAAAATCTTCAGTAGCACAACAAGTTTTACCACAGAGGGGTAAAACATGGACTAATTTACCTCCTGGGGTGACTATTAACACCTTCACCCCAGCTACAAGCTGGTGCTACAGAGGCTCAGGGGGCTGTCAGATCCCTCCCCACCCTTCCCCAAGAGGGATCATCCCTGGGCACGCTGTGGAAAGCAGGGATATTGGCTGGAGACTTTGATTTTCTCTCTGAATTATCCTCCAGGATTCAGAATGCTGCTCAGAACTGAGGGGGGTTGTCCCTGGTTGTTAAACCCCCAAAGCACCTCCCAGAGCCCTGGACCAGGGAGCCCCACGTGGGAACATTCCCCCTCCCTGGGTTTGATCCCAACAGCCCACGGTGGGATGTGTCCTGCCAAACAGCTGGATGGGGAGATTAGAGGGAAGGCAAAGAGCAGGGTCGGCACAAACACCATAAAGGGATTAGAGGGGCTGGGGGCAGAGCAGGTGGGAATTTTCCTGCGTGCTCTGCGCTGGAAGAAACAGCTTTTTTTAGCCAGGGAAAGGAGGGGGATGCCGTGGGAAAGGCTGGGGGTGGGTGGCCCAGCAGGCCTGCAGGGACTGGCTGGGATGTGCAGGGGGCTGGGACGTGGCACAGGGTGGACAAGGCTGTACCTTTTGCTGTCCATACACACACATATATACATATGCATACACATAATTCTTTGTGTCCTACCTGAACACACCTGGGGAACCCACAGCCCCAGCTCAAACAGCACTTTGGTGGCCACCAAAGCACCTGGCACCAACCTGTGCCCCTCCTGTGAAGGTGGGATCCTCCCACTCAGATCCATCCCACCCCTTTCCCCCATGGCAGGAGAGCCCATGCAGTGCACTCACTGCTCCACGAGGAAACCCCACGAGACCCCAAACTGTGATTTTCCTCATCTGTCCCCCTGGGAAAGCTTCAACCCACTGGTGGCTCCAGATCCAGCAGTGCCAGCCCAGTGCAGGCAGGGGAAGCCCATGGCACAGGGTTGGTGGAGGCTTCAAACCCTGCTCTGAACAAAGCAAGGAGGGGTTTGAGCAGGTCCCTCCTGCCCCTCAGCCTTCACACACACACACAAGGGGGTTCTTGGCCTGGGGTGAGTGTAGCTGCCTCTCCACCCTCACAGCCAGGGACAGCTCAATGCCAAGGTGCTGGAGCT